CATGTCACTAAAGATAAATTTTTTTGAACTCTCATCTAGTGGAGCAGTGAGCGACGAGCACGGCGAGCGTTTTCACCAGGACATTGCAACAATGGAGAAACGCTATCAGGGCAAATGGAGCCCATCAATGCTTGCAGACTATTGCTGGACAGTGACAAGAGATGCTCCATTTAATGAATACAAGAGACAAGCCAAGAAGCACCGAGTAGAACTGAATAGGGCTAAACTATGTACATAATAGTTTTTTGCCTTTTGTTTCATAATACATTTTATTTATATAACCATTTTGCTGATTTTTAAAGTGTTACATAAATAGGACAGGTGAAATGTTATCATGTAAAGCAACCATAAACACATGAAAAGACCTAGGTTTACAATTTATGATTAAAACTCTACTATCTACACAATATACATAGACGTAAAATGTAAAAACTTAAATATGTTAGAAACAGTAGCCAATCCGTTGTTTTAATTGTCATATTTGAATTCAGCACATCAAAATACATAATAAATAGCACATTTTATCTCTGAAGCAGACGACTTCTCAAAAATTGTAGACCAGTGTTATTTACAGAGAACGTACAAAGTCCTATTTCCTTGAATGCAGGAGGAATCAAACAACAGGAGACAGTTTCTTTGCTTGCAGTTCCAAATCCAAGACCCTTTCTAGCCAGCACCTAGCCCAAAAGCTTTTCTCAGGGCCACACTCCCAGTACTTGTATAGGGGCTTTTTGTCCCCTGCTCTCTTGTGTTATCGACTGCTTCTGTCTCTGCTCCTCTGGCCTTTCCGTCTCTCTTGCACAGACACACAAACCCACACAGAACAATAGCCAGCGAAACCCCTCCAATGTGCCTGTGTTTTGGGTGGAGGCTGCTATTGTTTCAGCTATCTGGTTCCATAAAGTAAGAAACAATTAACCTCCAACTGTCTTAAATGAAGGGCAGCAGTTACATACACACACCCCTTCCCAGTTCAATAAGGTTCAGTCCAGCCCATAACAAGGCCGCTCTAGTGGAGACAGCTTTCCAGATCCTGCCAGTCCATGTCCTCCCTGTGCTCATCTACCCAGCAATCTCGGCACTGCTATTTGGGGAGGGGCTGCCACATTCCTTTTCCCCACTGAGAGCTGCATGGACTGTGATCAGCGCGATGGGTTATGTATGCAGCAAGCATTTCTCTGAGCAAGGATCAGTTCAGTGCTGCTGGTGGCCTCCCACAAGGGGCAGGATTTCCCAATGGGTACAGGACAGTTCCCTACAGCCCAGGGTACATCTGATGGTTGTGAGTCAGGACCCTGAGTTCTAGTCTCACATCTGGTGGGAGTGTAGTCTAGTGCTTAGAGCAAAAAGGGAATCAGGAGTCTGGGATCTATTCCCTGCTCTGCCACTGATTTGTTCTGTGATGTTGGGCAACTCACTCAGATCAAAAGCAGCCACTGACTTTGGCTGCCTCAATTATTGGGAGCAACTCAAGACACCTCCAGCCATATTTGCTGACCCCCGCCCCCCCAAAAAGTCCAGCTGAAGACAACAAGAGATGCAGATACTTATCACCTCTAAGGATCAGGCCAATAACGTCTCTGTGCCTCAGTTTCCCCATCAGTAAAATAAGGCTAGTCCTGCTTACTTCAGGTGGAAGGCACAATAGGAAGGTCAAGGATCACCATCGCAGTCTGGGGCCGAGGCTGCATAACTCCTGAAGAGTGCAGGAAAATCACTAGCAAAATCACTAGACCCAGCAGAGCCCTCTGTGTTTTCAAGGCAAGTGTGTCTGCATCGCGTGCCCACTCATGCAAGGTGCCGGGCGCTCTCAGCTCCTGGGAGTTGAGTGGTCTTGGCACTGTGCTGTAGCATCAGGTCCCATCCTAGCAGCACTAATAACACTGACTCGTGCCCCGGCTCCTTTTCAACTCTGTTCCAGCTCTCTTCCTGATTGATGTGATCAGGGGCTTTATGAAGATAGTCTCTCCCTGCTTTGTGGCTCCACTGGACAAGAGTCAATAATTGTAAGCTGGAGAGCTTATCAGAGGCGCCCTCCCCTGCATACAAATCTCATTAAAAGAAGGCCCGGTGTCAGTAAACAGTTTTATTACTGACTATTTATATTGGTTTCCCTTTATCCCCTCTCAGATCTGCTGGTAAATTACCTGCCTGAGCCCTATTCATTCAGGAGTCCTCATAGTTAACAAACTAGTCACAGGCGCTGCTGTGGCGGAAAACATGTATCGATTTCCCCCAAATCAAAGGAGAGGGCTGAGAAGGTGTATGTGGGGGGAGGGGGGGGGAGCAGGGGTTAAAACTGGAGCTGCCCATGGTAATAAATTAGCTCCTGTCACTGTGTTTGAATGGAATCTGTGGCACTAGACGGAGGGGTGTGAGGCTGGTGCCTGTTCTCCCTGGGTGCCAGGAATGAGATGGATGCCCCACCACCTTCCCCATCCAGATCCAGGTCCCAATTTGGGGGGTGTTCAGACCTGGAGGATTGGTCCAGCCCATTATAAAGATAGGAGTCAATTCGGATCCAGATCCAGGTTTGGGGCGGCTAGGGACTGGGCCAGGAGTTTCATTCAAGCCCATCTCCAGTTTTGTACCTTTCTCCCTAGAGTCTTACCCCTTGTTTTCTGGGAACCGGGGCCTTATATCCCATCAAGACCTAAGTCAGGCAGATGTGGTGAGCGTGTGGGGTCTCAGCCAAGAGGCCCTGCCATTCGGACCCTAGAATACCCCGCCTCCCCCTGCACCATGCAGCAGATCCAAGCAGTCTGGAGCTCTCAGCCACAAAAAGAAACCACAGAAGTGCCCCAGAAGTGGTCACACAGCAGCCATCCCCGCACAGCCAGAGAGCTGGACTAGACGGGTATCATTGCAGGCTCGCCACGTCTCCCCCTGCGCAAAGCCTGGGCACCACAACAGCAACCCCAGCTGGCCCAGGAGAGGGCTGGGCACTCCAGCAGCCACCCACCACAGCTGTGCCAGAGGGGCCTGTGGTCAACCGCCACAGCCACCCCAGGGGGTGAGCTGGGCATCCCAGCAACATCATCCTCCGTGACCCCAGCGCTGGGCATCCCAGAACCTCCCCCTGGGCAACCCAGCTCCCCCCCCCCCAAGCGCTGGGCATCCCAGACCCTCCCCCCACAAGCGCTGGGCATCCCAGAACCTCCCCCTCGGCATCCCAGCCCCAGCGCCGGGCACCCCAGCCCCTCCCCCTGGGCATCCCAGACCCCCCAGCGCTGGGCATCCCAGCCCCAAGCCGCTCACCCGCGCCAGGCTGCATCCCAGCCGCGGGCTCCCCCTCTGGCCGGGCTGGAGCAGAGAAGTGCTGCGTGCGCGGCCCGGGCCTTGCCCCGGCTCCCAGCCGGGCCCGGCGAGGCTGCGGCAGCTCAGGCCGGGTGGCTGCGGGAGGCGCTGCAGCGTGAGCCCTTCCCGGGTGGGGAACTCGGGCTCCCGGGAGCCGCCGCTGCGCGCCGAGAAACTTTCCCCTGCGCCCGGACCCCGCCCCGGCAGCGGCTCCACAGGGAGGGGGAGACAGCCCCGGCTGCAGGGATTGCTGGCGGGGGGGGGGGGCTCCTTGCACGGCCGGGGCGGAGGGGGGAGACGGAGGCTCTGCCAGAGCCGCGGGGGATGCTCGGAGGAGGTTGAAGCCGCCGTGGGTCCCCCCGCAGCTGGCTGCAGAGCCGCCACCGCTCCTAGCCGTGGGGCGCGGGGTTGCAGCAGCACTGGGGGAGGGGGGTTGCAATCCGCAGGCTGCAGCGAGCTGACACCCCAAGAGGGGGGGGGCTTTGTGGCAAGTTTCAGTTTGCAGGGGGGGACCTACCGGGGCTGATTCCCCCACCCCCGCTGCGCTTCCCGGGATTCCCCTGCCGCTTGCTGCGCTGAGCCGGGATGGCGGGGGCTGTTTGCTCCTGGGTACCCGCCACAGGTTAGCGAGCCTAGTCCCGGGCAGCGAGCTTGGCGTCCCCCCGCCTGGAAGGACCACCCGCCCAGCGGAGCAAGTCAGCTTGCCAAGGTGCAGCCGGGGAGAAGGGGGAGGGGGGATCTGCTACCCCTCCCCATCCCTATCATGAATCCTCCTGCCGCCCGCCTCGCTCCCTGCTCAGCTGCGGGAGGGAAGCGCAGAGTTGCTGCGTGCGGGGCCGGAGAGCGAATTACCGCGTGGCTTTCGCCTGGCAAACTGCATCAAACCGGGGGGAAATATTAGCCGCCGCTCTGCGGGCTGAATGCAAAGGAGCAGCCCAGGGCTCCGGGCTCCCTCCAGCCCCCGCTGGGCAGCAGAGGCGTTTTCGCTGGAGCCCTGGCCCTCAAAGAGGAGCCGGGTGGACCCGCTGCATCTTCTGGATACTTTCGGGTTTCATCCACTGGAAGAAACTGGGCTTTAGAGAAATCCAACCCGCTGAGGGTGAGAGTCTGACCCTGCCTGGCCCAGGAGCACGGGACGGTGCAGGCAGCTGTGACAAGGAGCCACCCTCGAGAGGGGCAGATCCCCCCGCCCCCGCGCGTGGGGTCCCCCAGCACGGCTGGGATGCGGTGACCCAGGTACTAAAGGAACCAGTCTGTCCTGCTTGGCTGGAGCTGGGGGCTCCCTGGCTGCAGCCTTCCTGCTGCTCAAAGGGGCTGGAACTAGGGGGGCTGCCCCCCCCCCTTGACGTGGTTTCCATCACATCCAGGGTTTACAGTTTGGTTCAACAGCTCTCAGCACCCCCACTGTACAAATGGTTCCAGCGCCCCAGCTCCTGCTCCTCCTCTGAAGGGAATGCAGCTGCTCCCCAGCCATGCTGGGCTACCCTGTGCCAGGTGGAGACGGCCCTGGTAGTTGGATTTAGAGGGGACCAGGACTTCCTGCAGCGTGAGAGGGGGGCCCAGCCCTGCCTCCCCACCCCCCTCCCAGCCCACTCAGGATGCTGGCCGGCTGGAGAGAGCTCTCTGCAGGGATTGGTGCCACGCTTTGCTGCCTCCTCTTCTTCTGGCTCTTGTATTCTCATCCACCTAAGGAAGGTAAAGTCTCCGCTGTATCATATGCCTGCCAAGGCTGCTGGCTTGTGCCAGCTGGGGCAGTGGGAGTTTTAAAGGGGTTGTGTCGCCTTCCGCCACATGCCACCCGAGAGAGCCTGCATCAGAGCTATCTGATGCCATGCAACCTGCACGGATCCCCCTCCTCTTTGGGATTTCGCATAGCAGAGTTAGCATCTCCTGCTGTAAGGGCTGGGGGCAAACTTTCCAGCAAGGGCTCCCCAGGGGAGAAGAGGTTCAGTCTCCCATTGGGCTCGGTCTTTGGCTGCCAGGTGCCTGGCCAGAACCCTGGACTGGTTTTCAATTTGAGAGGCGCTGGCCTGCAGTAGGGGGAGGATTCACCTCTTTGTGGACTGGGAGTCTGGGGGCCTGATAAGCCTTGCAAGCTGAGCTGTTCAGCAAGGAAACTGGGGCTTCACTTCCCTCCCGAGGATGCTGGGCCTGCGCGTTGCCCGGGGTCAAATGGGGCTAGGTCAGAGCTGGCCCAAGAGATGGGGCTGCCTCTCCTCCCTGTTACCAGTTGCTAAATCACATTAGAAAGAGCATGAGATACAGTCAGTACTTCCCTAATGATTCCTCTCCATGTAAGGCAGTTGTGGTGTCATCCAGTGGGAAGGGAAGTGGTCTGTGCCATCATGAGTGGGGATGTGCCCATAGGTCAATCTCTCCCTGAAGATGTGGGGATACCCTGGGAAAAAGTTTACTCTAAGGTCTGAAGCACAGGACTGGGAGTTAGGAAGTCTGGGTTCAACCCTGGGCTCTGCCACAGACTTCCTGTGGGACCATGGGCAAGTCACTTAGTCTCTCTGTGCCTTGGTTTCCCATCTGTGAACTGGAGATCATGGTTTACTGAGGATTGTTTATTAACAGGGTTAAAGTGCTTAGATGAAAGGTGCTACAAAGTGCAAAATATTAGTGCCATGGGGGCTGGGGCTGTTACATTTACATGGGATAAATTAAAATAAGCTGCCTTGGGAATGAACTCTCTTTAATTGTACAGAGTCCCATATAATGCGGATTGCAGCTTGGGTTCCCAGGGTGACTCTTCTCCCAGACAAGGGGGGTGGGGGGAGAGAAGTGAAAGTAGGACAGAGAAAGGAAAACTCCCAAGGTTAAAAAAAAAAAACCCTGAAAAGCACTGTCAGTTTCCCTTTTCCTTCAAACTGGGGGGCGCTGTATGTTTCCAGTGACTGAACTTCATCTAGTTCAGTGTCCCACTTTCCAGTGTTGTCCCAGCTGGTTTCCAGAAGGTGTCTTGGGGATGGCCAGACATCTATATTGAATGAGAGCTGAAATCTCTCTCTCTCTCTTGTCTTTTGATGGTATCTCATGCAGTACTGATTCCTTTTTATAGCTGAAATGAAATTCACTTCCAGCACTGCTTGGTCTGTCTCCCAATTGCTGCCAACACGGGGGAGGAGGGTTTCACACATGACCCAAGGAAAGACAGTGGGAAACTGGAAGAGAAGCTGTTAAAACGGCATGGAAATTGGGGTGACAAATGGCTGAAAACACTCCCCTTTTGTGGGGCTCAATCCTGCGGGGGTGCTGTGCCCCTTGACCTAGGGAGGTGGTGGAATCTCCATCCTTAGAGGTTTTTAAGTCCCGGCTGGACAAAGCCCTAGATGGGATGATTTAGTTGGGAATTGGTCCTGCTTTGAGCAGGGGGTTGGACTAGATGACCTCCTGAGGTCCCTTCCAACCCTGATATTCTATGATTCTATGATTCCAGCGTGAATTGAGGTTGCTTGGCACCTCAAAGGACAGGCCCCATGCTACGTAACTGATTTGCCATTCAATCTTCTCCTCTGCTTTCTTGCTGCTAATTTGCCGCGTGACTGCCGGGGCTGGCAGCAACCTGAACAAACCGTGCCAAGACGCTTGCTCGCCCCCTGAATCGGCACCGTTACGCTGAGCGCTTCAGGGAGCCGGCCGCGTCTCCCTCGCCTCCAGAGGCTACACTTGCAAATGAGGATGTGAGAGGAGCGTTGCTGAGCCATGTGGATCCATAAATAATGCCACAATTACCAACTGTAACTAAACATTTGTGCAATAATTCAAATGATGCAGCATTACTCAGCCAAGCAAGAGACAAGTTCAAGCCTGGCCTCGGGCATGGAAGAGGCTAGAACTGCTGAAGCATCAGCTAGGTTGGCAGAGCTATAAGATAGGACAGCTAGAGGGTGCAATGCTCCTGACTCCACAGCACCCCCTGCTGGGCAATTTGTAAAGCATTGTTAGAGGTAAGGGGCCGCAGCAGATTGCAAATGTCAGAGGAAAGGAACCCCAGCGTCTTTCTGATTTAAGATATTAAACCAGAAAGCCCTGCTTAGCAAATGAATAGAGAGAAGGCCTAGTCAGAGAGGTGCAGATTGAACCAGGAAATCCTAAATTCAAACTTCAGCTCTGCCATTAACTCACTGTGTGGGTTTAAGCAAATCATGTGACCTTTCTGGCCCAAATTTCTGCTCTGAGTGACACTGGTGTAAATCCAGAGTAACTTCAGTGGAGTCACTCCTGATTCACAGTGGAGTAAGTGAGAATTTGGCCCGCTCTCAATTTGACACACATGTGTTTTAGTTGCTCCAGTCTATATAAAGGGGACAGTTGCACTTAACTACATCAGATGTGGGTTGGGAGGATTAATCAGTTAATGTTCTCTAGGCAAGTGCGAAGTATAATGCTCAGATGTGTGTGCGTGTGGCCGGGTGCATGCCTGTATCCTGGTGGAGGGGGAAGTGGTTTCCAGTAATTTCAAGGGGGAGTTCTGATTTAAAAACCAGTGGCCCCAAAAGACCCCCTCTCTCTCTGGCTGCGTACCTGGAGAGCATAGAATTTGAATGGCTCTGAGCAAATTTTGAAATTAACACCCCTTGAAGCAAATGAGCAGAGAAATTTCAGAGACACCCTAACGTTTTCAGAGCCGTGATTCTCAGTGCCCTTGACCTGCTTGAGAGTTTCTTCTCACTCTGCTTATGATGGAATAAAACAACTCAGAGCAGTTCTCTTGCGTTCCTTGTGGCGTGCAGTTGTGTATGAATGCAGAGCTGGCGGCGCCCCCTCCTTTAGAAGGAGGATTTAGTTTGGATCCATATTAGATGCTCTCCAAGCTGCCATCATTCTTGTGCTGGAGCATTTTGCAACCTGTGACTCATACAATCTCCTCCGGACATTATTGAAATCCCCCATCGTTCAAATGGCCACAGCTAATTGGCAGTGTATGTGTGGGCAGGGGTGGTGGTGAATGAATCCCCCTGCTGCAGATCCCAGAAACTCCCAAGGCATATCCCAAACCAAACCACAATCCCTGCTGAATCAATGGCAAATCTCCCACTGATTTCATTGGAACCAGTATTTGGCCCAGAGGATGCCTGGCTGTGGGCAGCAAACAGCACTGGCTTCAAAGCTACCAAACACTAGGCCAAACATGGCTCACGCTGGAGCTGCCTATAAAACAGTTGTGACTTCCTGTAGCAGACTGTAGGG